CGAAGATCACTTAAAAAATTATATCTCCTACATCTTTCAAGCTAGAGTCTCCAAATGTATGTTAAGATGCATTTTAGACAATTTCGGTTTTTGTTAAAATTTACCTCCCACCCCTAAGTTCACCCCCTCACCCTCATCTTTGTAAATATCTTCTATCAAATACTAGAAACTTGCAACGTTTGCCGGGTCAGCTAGTATGTATATACATAGCAAATCTGAAGTCTCCAGGTCTAAAAGTGTTCGAATGAAGCTGAAAAACAAAATCAATTTTTCGATTATTTTCGATAAAAATTTATCGGATGATTTATGGAAAAAATAAAGCAAACTCGTACTGCGTATGGTATACACAAGTATGCATGCCAAATTTCAAGCTCCCTAGCTTTTGTATCTTCGGAGATCGACGCACTCATACGGACGGACAGATGGACAGGGCTATATCGACTCAGCTCGTCGTGCTGATCAAGAATATATATACTTTATGGGGTGTGCGATGATTCCCTCTGCCTATTACATACTTTTAACAAAACCATTATACCCAGTTTTCCCATTTTCAATAGGTTCAGGGTATCTGTATCTGTTTCGTATACTACTTTATAATCACCATTAGCTTACTCTATTTCAGGCCGATTGAAAATAAGGGCAAATACGTTGATCGAATCGATATTCTTATGCAACAACAAGCGATTGATTGACTTACTCAGTGTCCTAAGGCAGAAGCATTTGAAGAGCTTTGATTGTAGATAGCAAAGTTACCTTATGTCGCAGTTGTATGGGATAGAAGCCGCCGGCACTCCTTCATGGGGCACATGTCACCAGAAATTTATGGCCGCGGTTGACAAGAAACGAGGGAAATTATTTTCTAATTTCTTCTAATCACGCGCTCGTCGTTGGCAATCGATTGAGTTCGGTCGGTGTTCGGGCTGTGCGGGCGGGCGGTGTTCGATCAGTCGGTGCGGCGCCTTCGTTGTCGCTTCGACAGAATCAAAATATATTTGACATTGATTAGTTTTCCAAGAATTTTGAATACACGTTTTACATTAGCTAAGGGACATGGGCTCACAGGAATCAGAACTCAGGGCTCAGGGCTCGTCGTGCCAGCGAGTTCCGAGCGACAGCAATCAGGCAGTCCATTAGACGGGCGTGTTTATTTTTACGCTTCATTTAAGCATTTCATGCAATTTTTTAATATCAATTTCCCCTAATTTTAGACCTCGCTTACTTTTTGAGACACGCAATAAATTGCGTGGCTGTTCGCCTTTGTCCTGTGCACACACGCTCACAAACATCCCTCTAGAACAACGAACTGGCTTCTGGAGGCGAACCAAATAAGTCTTTAAATAATTCTATAGCAGGTTATGAACCAATAAAAAACACTTCACGCCGCATATCGAAATTCGGTAATTAAAGCTAGAGTGTTGCCGACAGCCAACTTGAAATCAATGCGAGTAGTTCTTTATTAAAACTATAATAGTTTTACATTCATTTCCCGCAGGTGCTCAGACATTGCTCTGTTTACATTCTGCATTGAGACGGAATACTCCTTTAACTTGGCATCTGGATGCCGTTTACATTTCGAACTATTCGACAGCATGTTATTATGTTCAGTGCTTAATGAAAAGGCTCGAAACATAATCGTTATCCATATGCCAAATTAAGCAGAAACCAACTTGCAAACAGAAGAACAATCAGAGTGATAGTTGCTATTTCTTGCCTCCATTCTTTACCCGCACTTTCGACATCAGCATAATGCAAAATGGAGTTCTCAATGATGCGAAATCTTGAGGTCTTCGTGTCCATACAATTGTCTGCAAGCTCCCCAACATAATGAAACGGATATATGTAACAGAAGATTATGGACAGCGCAAACTTAACATTCTGCCCCGAGTCGCACTGGAAGAGATTAAAGTCAAGAATTGTGAGGTTTTCGCACCCCATAATCGGGGATCTGTGCATTGTAATGAAGACGAACGACATTAGAGGATCAGGCGCGAAGACCGCGTACGGAACATTGTCATGAGCATAATTGTCCCGATAGTGAAGGTGCAGTCGATGCGGCAGTCTTCCACGGCACACTCGGTACATGGGCTTATCGAAGTACATGGAACAGTTGTAAAACGAGGATCGTGATGCCAGCAATAAATGCAGGTGACCTAATATTAGCACAAGCCTTAATTTTGATGCGTCGATCAACATGATACGTACTAATTTTGGGTTGACTGGAAAGTCTCAGGCAACAGTTTTACCATAAAGCACTCTAAACCCAAGCCCAATCTTATTAAAGAATTTTTTCTTTGAGAAATTGAAACCTTTTATATTTTGTCTAAGTGTGTGTAACAGCCTAGCTAATTGACCTAGTGAGGTAATAGAGATAAGGAAATTCTTCAACATACAGTGTGTATTACAATAAAACAATAGAACTTCTAACCAAAATATATACTCTGCATTACTATACCACTATTAAATTAACTTTGAAGGGAAATGTCAGATTATCCCACATAGCAAAGCATTGGGTCTTGTATAAAGTTTCGTTCCGACAAGTCAGTATTGATTTCCTATAAGCCTTTGGTCTTATTATAAGGAGTTCATTTATCCTTTTAGTTATTGGAGTGCGATTGAAAGACTAAATAATTTGTAGGAATGCCTGAGGAGAAGGTAAATAGTCATGCATCTGCAAACAGCTTGTCGAACTAATATACTTACTCCGAATGTGAATCACGGTTACTATACCTCTTTTAACCTTAAAGGTTGTTTGAAAACCTAACAAAGCTGCATTTGTTCAGAGCCATTTTACTCAAAATTGGAATTCCACGCTGACCAAGCTAATCGAACTCTATATATGAACTACGGCCACATACCAAGAATCTTTTTTAGGAGCATCATCGGGAACTTTGCGTTTAATGTAAAACAAAATATATTTGCGACACGTATACTCTTATTTTAAAAAACAATATCAACGAATAAAGTGTCATTAATCCATGAAATTGGTTTTACTTATTGATGGTATTCAGAGAATTCAAGTTTGGGGCCTCAGAGCATGGAGAAATTTTGAAGGTCATTAACAGTGAACCAAACAAGACGGTTGAACAAGCAAAATTACACACTATTTTGGTTCTTTACATATTTTTATATGTACAAATTGTGACAGTTCGGTCAAACCACTTTTTAACATTGATTTTCGTGTCTCATTCTTGAACAAATTGTCAAAAATGACTTTCAAACTATTTGCTGCAATATTATAGGCCATGCCAGTAAGCCCCCAATGCGCAGGAGCTTACATTATAAACTTGATTGCTTTTTGGCTGCTTTTACTGCTTCACCCCGCCACAGTTTCCACGCTAGGCTTAAAGAACTGCTCCTTCATCGACGGCCACATACTGGAGTTTGTGTGCCACGGAAAGTATGAACGCCAAATTCGGCTGCAATATAAGGATCGAAACCCCGCTATTAACGCGCCCTACTCCATCTGGCAGCGCGCCGATTACTTTGGCTCCTCAATGCTGCTCATTGTATTCTACGAGGGACCGTTGACCCGATGCTACAACATTGTGTACAGCGAAGGGCTCTTCTATTGCAATGGCCGCAACTATCCCATGGAGCTGGACGAGTCTATTATTGTGAACTGCATCCCCTTCCAGTTTACGTACGCAGATGAGCTGCACAAGCGGTGTAAAACATCGAAAAAGACCCAATATGCGTCCACTATTTCATCAGTCATCATCTACATGGAGTCGAATATACAACCAGGTTCGGGAGCAACAAAGTATCTGTATTGTTCCAATCTTCTTGTTATAGTTATATTGCTTTTACGATTTTAAATCTAAACATGACAAATTTATTTGGTAAACAATAAAAATGAGAAAAAGCGATTGGAACGCCACTAATACATACTATTATGGTCTCTAGTTCTCGTGAAGCGACGTAAACCTACAAAAAAAAGAAAAATGCGAATCCGATTATTCTCCATGGTGCGTGTAGTGAATTTTGATCTGAATATCTGAATAAATTAAAGTCTGATCTCTTCGTATATTTTATTGTTATCTTTCTTTGATTTTTGATAATCTGCCCTTATTCAAAATATATTTACTCTTATCTATTGTTTGTCAACTTTGTTGGATATTCACAATATACTTAGTAATCTCTGCTGACTGGAGGTGAATTGAAAAAGAAACAATCGAGTTCAATCGAGCTATAATATTAAAAGTAAAGTACTTAATTGTGTAGGATATAGATAAATGGAAAGGCGATTAGTTTTTTTTTTTTTTTTTCGATTTTTACAGAAAGTGAAACTATTGAGAATTGTGAGAACAGTTTTTTGTAATTGGATAGATATTCTTTCGACTTATCGCGATTTTCGATTTAGCGGGCTACGAATTATTGACGTATATTAAATATCAGTATATTATAAACCTTTTCGATGCGATCCATGCTATAAATAGAAGTCACCTTCAGCAGTATATGATTTATTATAAATGTAAAGCGTTGTGCTAAGAATTTAGATCATTCGCAACAATTTGATAATTTCCAATTAAAATAATGTACAACAAATTTTACTGCGTTTATTTAAGTAATTTTCGAAAGGCTTTTTGAAGAATGAGGAGAGGTCGACGTTTTCCCGAAATAAGCATTATACAGTTGGCAGCTGTGGCTCGGAAATCGAGTTGACGAGTAATCTCCGCTCTGTGAAAGTCACCGTCGCATTTCTTTTTGACTATGTAGAGCAATACAAAGATGGAGCAAAATGGCATTTTATTTATTTTTCTACTACTTCTCAAATTTCGAAATGTAAATGAATATGACATTTGAAGCAAGACTGCAAAAGTGTCTGAAGTGAATCCAGATCTTACAGCTGGGTAAAGCTTAAGAGATTGATTGGATTAAATATCAATATTATTATTATTATGTATATTATTATGTATTACTTATCTATATCAAATAGAATCTAAAATATAACGATTAACTACCAACTGTATTGCAATAATTCAAGGAACAGAAACAGTTGAATCAGTTTTTAATCAACAAGAAAAAATTATTCAGTAAAATAATTATTTCATGTTAGTTCTGCAACTACAATGCTAGCCTATATCTTTATATAATAAATATATATATCATGAATGATGAATTAATTGAGAAAGACAGTAGTAATGAAGTCTTAAGTTTCTAACTGTAAATACACATATGATAGTTTACTTTAAATACCTCGTATACCTTGTATTCCTCATCAACTAGATAAATTTGATATGAGGATGTGATTATCAAGGTCGAATCGTCATTTGTATGCTATTCAATTTTTTTATTTTTATCTAGAGATTCACGCTCGAATGGAGACGCACAAAAAGTTGCGATACTCTGTCAATAAACAGCCAATGGAATCTGCTCAACTCGTTTTAAGATCGATCAGATTCAAGCACTCTAAGGATATTGTGAATTCACCCACAAGCAGCGCAGGAGATTATCATCATTAGTTTGGTGTCTTTTGTGCCAAATACTAAATGCGGACAATAGATTTGGCTCTCACGCGCTTGGCCTGATTTTCACGCATGGCTGGTAATGCATACTCTGTCATGGAAGGAGAACGGCAAAGCAAAGTGCGCAGTGCTGCGTGGAATTTCTGAATTTCATTTGAAATGAGCGTTTCGCTTTCCAAACAACATTTCTAAAAAACACACACAAAATGCACACAAGTGTGTGGCAAATGTGCCAACAAGGACACACGGAATGATAAAAGCATTAAAGTCGATTTTGCATACGAACGCTGAGCGTTCTGAATAAATCTGTGTTGATGGGACAAAACATTAAAAGGCTCTGAGGCAAAACTTGACTTTTGAATTGAAGATTTAAACATAAATGGGGACTTCTCTATGGCAGTCCTTTATCTACCCAACTATCTTGTTTCCATACATCTAGCTTAATCAAGAGGAACTGTCAAACCAAAAGATATTGCAATGCACTGCATAGGAATATACGTTTCATTTGATTTAATTTGATTTTATTTGATTTACTTTGATTGAATAGAATATCATAAAAGCACGGAACATTGCACAACTCGGCAAAGGCCACTTTGGTTTTTTATTCCATTTGGAGCAATTAAACTCTTCATGCTCTGTTTGGCGCTGCTTTCAACAGCTGCTGGTGCTGAATGCTTTACAGCGACTAATCCTTTGGCTTTTTGCCTGCAACATAAATATTATGTATACGCGAACAACTTCAAATGGGACAACGCGGCGTATGCGCTATTCTCGTTATTCCTATTGGAATTGTTTCTCTTGTTGTTGCTGCCGCTTTTGCTTTTGTTAGGTCGAGCATTCATATTTCACTGCACACCAGTTGCCATTTTAGCACCAGACTGTCATGGCGCATCCCTCCAGATACTGCAGGATCGGCCAAACTCTGTGCTCATGCCATGCCCATGCGTGTGCTTGTGTATCTATTAAATACGCAATGTATTAAATACGCAAAATGTTTCTAGAGTCACCATAGAGAGCTCGGCTTGTTACTCTTCCACTTGTCGCCTGCCTGGTAGCATCCATTTAACGCGCCTATTCGAACAGGCTCATGGGACAAATACTACCTAGAACAATATAAACAGTCGATGTTTGCATAAAGAAGAAGAAGAAGAAGAAGAAGAAAGAAATGCTATGCTTCTTTTCGTAATGCAGTTTAAAATATTTTTTATTTTTTTGTTTTATTTTATCTTATTCACCCATTCGCTTCGATACATACTAAAAGAAGGATGCAGGACTTGGGTGAGTTTGCAGGTAGATTTAAAAATGAGTTGATTTATTTATTGAGGGAGTTGATTCGTTCACTTGAAAATTTATTCCAGTGCGTACATGTTAAATAAACTCTAATGCCTAAAAAATAAGTAAATATTTTGAATTTTGAATACGATTGATTTGAATTTGATTGACTGCACAGTTAAGCAGATCAGCGAGCTAGCTAAATTAACGGCTCTGACAGCATTTCAGGTTAAAACACGAAGGCTCTAGTCGTGACTGCTCGACTAGAAGATACCCTGAACCCTCCAAGCTGATATTCTTATATATATTCTGCTTTTTTTCTTTTTTTTTCTTTTATGCACGCACACTTGCATACATATTCATCCACCGTCACGCGCCCGCGCTCTGCTAACTGCGCTGTAAGCAGCGACTGCGCTTGGGCTGAATAAATTCTTTTGTAGACATACAATCTTAATTAAATTTTCAGAGCGTAATCATATAGTCAAAATGTGTGTACATTCCAAAGCATAAGTCTCTAGTACTTGAAATATGATTTTACAAATTGGGGGCGAAGGGGGCGGGGTATCCAAAATCTGTAAGCTACAAAATGTTTGTATTCATCATATGTAAATACACAGTAAATTTAAAGTCTCTACGTCTAATAGTATTCCAATGAGGCCCAAAAAACAAAATCAAATTTTCGAATTATTCTCGATAAAAAAGTTATCGGATGAGTTATCGAAAAAATACTCCAACTGCGTACATACTTTTTCACATTATACCCTGATTTCACATTTTCAGTGGGTTCAAGGTATAAAAGGAGTTCTGCTTCTTTATGTGTTGCATTTGTGCAAGCTCGATGCAGTTCTCGACCAACCGATGCCAGTAACAAATTGCTCAAAATTGCAAATAATATAAACCTGCCACGGGGATTCCGGGTCTGTCGCTTCAGAATGTTGCAATTGATTTACGTTCTCAATAGCTTGGGACTATTAAAGTGCGTGCGGAGCAGCAAACTCCTCGGATCGTGACTCCTCCACTCAGATGCCGCCCCGCTCACTTGACTGGGGCTTTTACCTTTCATGTGGTGTTGGCATTTGAAAATTCTATCTGCAGTAATCTGTAAATCTTTTATTAATCACTCAATAAGAAACGTCTGATACGCAAGTCAATTATTATAAAATGTTTCGCTTCTTTAAAAACATGTATATGAACCTAATGTAGGGTCCCGGAAAAATGAACGAAATGGCAAAAGTGAGTCAGAGAGTATTCAAGTATCCATTGGAATAATAATAATTCTGTTCAGTAAAAGTAATAATAACTAATAAAATTATATCCTACATTTATATTCGCTATTCATGTCATTTATTTAAGTTAAGCCAGCAGCTCTCCTGCGTCTTTTATGAAAAGAGGCTCGATAATAACTAGAAATTCGGATTGCAATCTCGATAAACCTAATATTGCGAATGTAAAAGCTTCATTGAGATGATGGTCTATCTCTTCACACTTTAGCCTAGCTTGTGAACTATTGAGTCTATTGTATTGATGTAAGTATCTCATTGCCAACTGATATGCAGATCTCCGCTGCGAAACTCTGCTTTAATGACAGCACAACCCGAGCTACAATCAACAGTCGCAGAATGAATAAAGCTTAAGAAAGGAACAACCTAAGCAGCTTTTGGCTAAGCTGCTGCTCAGTAACCAGAATGAAGACATTTTCAACTGTTACGGTATCTAGCCCATTGTACACCCAGTATATATGGTTTATCGAACAACTGGGATATATTCCACTTGATGCAACAAAATTAGGTGATCCTCAAGTACTTGTACTAGCTGAGCCTAAGATTTCGTCGATAACAATAAGCATTAAGCTAATAAGAGCATGTATAAAATGCAATAATAAATATTGTGCTTAAAACACTAAAAATAAATGAAGTAAATAATTGAATTTTTTTTAAATATTTGTTCGAATGCTGAAGTTGTATGCAGAATTTTATTACAATTATGAATGTTAAAAATAAATAAATGAATGAATAAATGAAATGGCAAACGTAAGGGAAATAAAGGTATCATGATTACCATTTAGCATTTTAATGTGCGTTTCGTGTGGGTGTCGAGTTTAATTAACAATTTTTTATTCAATGGAAGATCAGA